AATTTCCCACATTTTATTGATTTAATATCTAATAACTTAAAATTTGATTGCTATATAAGGGCTCGTACAACCTTGAGCTTACTTCAACGCTATGTACATATATTAACCCCTTGCTGTATCATTCAGTTCTGAAAAATTCGGGCCTTGTACATTACCAGGACGTTTCCCTGCTTTTTATGCTTATACCAAACTTTGCACATCCTCCTCGGACATGAGATTATAAATATAACTCATGATAGCCATGTTTGGCGTGAAATCATGATCACGAGTTCGACTCGTGATATTCATGTTTGTTACAAAACTCTGATCGATCTCAAATTCGTTAAAGTACGACAGAGGGATTAAGATCGAAGCTGTCTGTGCCTGGGGAACGGAAGGAAACGCGGATCATGGAGACGCAGCAATCTAGGCGGTTCCGTTTGATCCCGCTACGGTAATACATTGTGGAGCGAAAGCGTCACCTAGTTGTTTGACATTAACGCTTTAATTTTAAGGGGATCAGATCCGTCTGCAGACGCAGATGGTCTGTCACCACGGGTACGGACGGCTTCTTGCGTAGCGACGAGGCATACCTTTGACGCCCGTGGCGCAGTCTATAATTATTGGCAGGTCAGCGAAGCCGAAGTCCGTCCGCGGAAAGTTCGTTATACGACAGGCATGTCCTCCCCGTAGGCACTTCCCGTGCACACAAACGTACGGCGGGTGCAGGCCGTGTACTAGGAGAGATAGAGGTGAGCTTTCCCCTATGAGACGTTAATTATTATCGACAGTTTCGAAAAACGAACTCTCTTCGCTCTTGGCTGGCTGTCGCCTGATCGGCCCGTGTACACGCACCGACGAACGCTTTACGTACCGGCCCTGTCGTGATAGTTAATTGCATCCAGCCCGCCGCCTACCCGATGTTCGAACATACGTATGTAACGTGTGTAGCATAAGGAATAAAACTGAACCAATAAAAGTCTTACATAGTTGTTCGCAGGGTTGCTCGTTAGATTGCATGTTCAAACTGTTGAATTACGTGTTCTTTCATCACTTCGCCTTGAATGACGTGACATTTTTTTATCAATCATTAATTGTTATGAAAAGAATACGATTTTTTTAAACGAATGCATCTTTATATATATTTACATTAAGAATCAATCTTTATACAATTTTAGAAGTCCTATGTGTTCTTATAAAATGTTATATTATGTACCCAATACAGTCAAAGGTATCAGTTATATCTAAGTCTGTCCGTCTATAACAATATCTACACTAAATTAAGAATGCACAAGGTCTTGTTCGCCATCCCTG